TGTGAGTCAATTTGAGACTTTAAATTTAATTTAAAAACTCTTCATGAATCCATGAAGAGTTGAATGAATTCATGAATTCATGAATTCATAGTTTCTTTCTCTGAACATCATTTTGTTGAATCGTGTTTAAAAATCATAAAAAGTCGTAAATGATGTGTTCTTTAGTTTTGGACACGCTGAGCTAAAGTTTAGGCGTCCTGACCTGTCCCTGGTGCAGCTCTTGTTTGCACCAGTGTCTCCGTTTTCTGTCCCCCGTCCCCCCCAGCAGGACTCCGTCCCTCCTTTATCTGAGCATTAACTAACAGCTTAATGGCCCGGCTGTAAAAGAGGATCAGGAAACAGGAGAGCAGTATCTCTGGACATTTCCCTACAGCTGCACCCCCACCCCCCCACCCCCCGCTATCTGTCCTAATAATGTCCTCTGTCTCCTGTCTCATGTCCTCTGTCAGTTAGGACACGAGGCAGCTGGAGGAACATTTAGCTCTAAGTTTGGAGGCCAGATGTTTGAGTTTATTCAAACTTCCAGGAATTTTATCCAGGTGAACACTAAGTGTGTGTGTGTGTGTGTGTGTTGGGGGTGTGTGTGTGTGTGTGTGTATGTGTGTGTGTCCACGTTTGATTCTCTTCAGCTTTGTCTCCAGTCTTTATGTCTAAAGGTCCATCTTTGACGTCTTCACACCGACGTCGTCTCATGAAGAGAAATGATGAAGTTGTTGGTGTTTTGGTCAAAACCACGAATTCAAGGATTCAAGGATTTTTATTGTCGTTCTCATCACACGTGGTGCACGAGGTGGAACGAAACTGTGTGCACAGGCTCGCAGTTACAACACAAACACAAACTGTGAAGAAAAACATTATGATCTAAGTCATGAACTAAGAATAGATACTGTGTACTACAGTCAATAAACTAAGAATACTCTAAGCACTAATGGTACAAAACAGCAGCAGCACGAACACGAGTCTGTTTGAGCAGACGAGGACTAATGAACACAGCAACATGAAAACAACTCCACGACTCTCAGCTACTACCACTCCACATTTCAGCTCGGTGTCTAAACAAGACTGACTCGTAGCCTTTGTGTCGGCCCACGTCGATTTTCTCTGGCAGCCATTTTTGAATTTGAATTATTTTAGATGTTCGTTCGATGATTGTTTCCAGACAGTTCTGGTCCAATCAGTCCGATTGTTCAGGAAATATTTCGCTAACACAGAGACAAAGTTCAGTCAAAGTAAATAACTAGCAAGTAAAAAAGTAATAGTAATGGTAGAGTAGTAAAATAGTACTAGTAGTAGTATAATAGTACTACTAGTAGTATAATAGTACTATAATAGTACTAGTATTACTACTAGTAATATAATAGTACTAGTAGTAGTTTAATAGTAATATAATTGTACTACTAGTAGTATAATAGTACTATAATAGTACTAGTATTACTACTAGTAATATAATAGTACTAGTAGTAGTTTAATAGTAATATAATAGTACTACTAGTAG